AAACGGTGTCCAATACATTATGAACAATGTATATATCTACTGTTCTATCAATCTATTTGGGGGTCTATAAAACTGATTTATATCGGTTCAACTTTTCTCTGTCTCCCACACAATCGACTCATCTCAAGTTTCCGAGGACTTCAACTTTGTCTCCAAAGATTGGGTCTTCAGTCGCTCCTGCAGCGTGATCCACAGATTGAGTCTACCGCCCCTTGCTCATCTACCAAACGGTCAGATGGAACCTGAAAACTGGAAAATATCACAGTATCAAGTTCATCTTCCAGGAGCCAATAACAAAGTTCATTCCAATCCTCCAGCGAGTTTAAACAAAGGAATTGTGTGACAAGTATGAATCCACCTGTCCAGTCCGACTACTTTCAAGTCAGAATCGGCGGTCTTGCCTCACTGAAAAATACGACATCTTGTCCTTCTCATCCCTTCGCAACCCCCCACCACCACTCTGTTGTAGTCTTCCCCGCACGCGTCAAGAGCACGTGGGTTGCGCCCATGCGGCCGCGGCCTGCGCGAAGTGCTGCAGGCACAAGGCGTAGCTGCTGTGCTGCTCCGCAAAAGCGTCGACACCTTCCTCCAGCCGCGCCTTTGGGGTGCTTGGAATTGACCCACTGCCGAGGAACACAGATCAGTGAAGATCCCCCCAAAAAAATTCCCCCACCTTTCTACAAACGCTCCCGATCCTGATGCCGCAAAACTGTTTTTTTCGCCCCGGAAGCTCCACGTGTGGCGAAACTGTCTGCAGCCTGAAGCTCTTCCATCTGGTTCTCCTCCATGACCAGCTGCCGTTGCCGGAACTCCGCCAGGTGTTCCCAGCGCTCGGCCACCTGCCGGTCCTCCCAGCGTGGCGGCTTCCGCGATGGGAAGGCCGACCGGCGACACTGTCCTCAGCCTCTTGGCCCGAAGACCGATGAGCATTCCAAACAAAGAGAACTGACACCAGGAAGAAAAAAAGGCGATACCAAATCCTGGCAAAACATGGCAAAACCATGCCAAACCCTGAAACCCTCAGTCCACGATCCTGCTGAGAGCTCTTGTTGTTCTTGCACTGCCAAACCCGCTCAACCACAGTGGTGTTCTACATTCCACTTCCATGATTCGTTCAAGAAGCGTAGCCCGTAGCCCCATCCTTCGCCAGAAGTTCTCTGAAAAATATCTAAAGCTTAGATCAGCCAGCAAAACACTCCAACGATCAAGATCAAGGAAGGATTGATGCCTTCCACGGGCGTCCGCATTGGTCCCCGAACTCTCACAACGATCCGCGTTCCATCGCGTTCCATCCCCACCGAGTGGACCAGCGTTCCATTGACCAATGCTAGAGTCCCTATAATAGAACACATAGAGGATTGAAACTACTCCAAATCCCAGTGGTTTGTATGTTGAAACCTCCAAAATCTGAAGATCCACTCCAATTTGGGCCTTTGGAAAAATCAAAATGTCTATAGACATTCCAAATGTTGGTGAGTCTCTTGTTTTTGGGCTTTAATACATATGTTGGTGAGTCTCGTTTTCGTGTCTTGGACCCACATGGACCCAAAGAGCTACCGGTTCCTCACACTGACATTCCCTACAAGTCCCAATGAGTTTGAACAAAAGACGTCAAAAATCAATCAACCTTTAAAATGTACAATGCAGTAACATCAGCCGGCCTGAGATTTGTTGCTGTTTCCTTTTCAACTTGTCTCAGCCATCCCCGGAAAAGCCGCTAGCGGCCTCCAGCATTTGCTTCGCTTGGGCACGGAGCTGACTCTCCTGTCAGGAAGAGTGAGGTGGCAAACTATTGGTTTACAATTTCCCCCTTGGCAGGCTGCATGCTGAGAGAACGTTGGCTTTACGATGCTTTCTTGAAAGACTTGGAGAGCATATACTTTTTAATGGTGGTCTTGAATTCCAAAGCGAAGTCTTTGCAAGGTGGCTGCTGTACCATCACTGCTTGTATCCAGGCTGCCTGACAGCTGAAGATGGAAACTGCAAGATCCCACAGGTGGCGCACCCATACTCACATATCGAAATCCACTGAAAGAATCCTTGCCATGCCATAGCCCCGGTCACTCACGATGTCTCGGACCAACCAATCAATGGCGCGTTCCAACCAATCCAACTGTCCGCCCGGACAGTGAGTCGGACGTCTTTGACCTGAGACATGCAGTTTTTTTCCAGGCAAATGAAGCTCCGACTCGCCCTTCTTCAGATGTCCGCTTCGCAGCGACGATCCGGGATCAGGATCCCTGAAGGGGACCCAAATCAGATCTGCTCGCCCTGGTGACCTGCGTGACCTGCATGGTGTACCCGGTACCCTCACGTCGGAAAGCCAGTTTTTCCAGGTCGGACGGTCGGACCCTCGGTCTGAAAAAAGGGAGAGCATCTAGAATCTTCGGTGTTACATTGGGTATTTGTATGTTTTTTAATGTGTTTTTGCTCCACTTCCCTGTGATGTTCTTGTCAAGGAGTCTTACTTCTCGGGGGCCGCCCTTCTTCTTCTGCGGTGACGGGTTCCGACAGGTTCCTTCTCTTCGGCCCTGGGGCCGTCGGAAGCGGACAACCCGTCCTTCTCTTCCAAGACACGCTGGTGCTCCTGGACCGCGCGGTGACGATGTCCTTTTCGCGACATCCCTTGGGCTGAAGTGGCTGGTCTCTGACCTCGAAAATACGCAGAAACCACAAGTCACCAGTCACGAGGGGTACTTCTGTGCATGACGGAACTCTTGCACATCCCTGAAGCCCCATAAATATCCTTTCTTTCCAGGCTCTGCCAGGTGTTTGAGACAAAGAAAGAAAGAAAGCATACCAGTCACCAATGGAAGCCCGCCCCTACACTACCTAGGGATCTCCATTAAACACCCCTTTCAAGGTCCAGGTATCATAACATATCTATAATGACTCTAATTGGCCCTATGAGCCGAAGTTCCAAGGTCGCCCAGGTCCCACTTTTCCCTGTCTTCTTCTTGGGGTCTTTTTGGCCGTCTTCGCCGCGCGACCACGCGGGGGGCGCCTGCAGTTGCGTCCGTTGATCTTCCAGCAGCCTTCGAACGCCCGGACCCGGCAGGGCGGCCCCGGGTCGGTCGGTCGATGATGTGTGGTGAACAGCAAAGGGAATGGAAGATGAAGGGGGGGTTCACCATCTCACCGGTGAGGACGAGGGCTTGTCATACCGAGTGACAAAGAGACGCCAGATGATGCCAGTATGGTGTTCCGCACTTGCCAATTGCACTGGAACCCCGCGAACGAACCGACAGCCCATTCAGGCGGCGACAAGCGGCTGCTGCTGATCCCGCAAGAGCTGATGTTGCTCGTCATCGTGCAGCTGCTGCTGGCGCTTCTTTATTCCAGAGATGGCATGATTCCTTACCATCCCATCCGAGAAGGACGAGTCCACAGAGTCAGAGTGTCGTCAGCACCGAACACATGGGAGGGGTCGTCAAAAGAAGCGTGTCGATGTCATCCCTACCATCTTCTTGAGGAAGGTCCTCTGGAAAAAGTAAGTTATATACATGTTTGGCTGCAAACAACCTCCAAAATGGGTAGGGATTCTATTTTCCTCACTTCACATGTATGGTGAGTCACGCCGTCCGACCCCCTGCCACTGCAGGGCTCGGGCGACCTGTCGTCAAACCTGTGCCGACCTGGACTCCAGGTCGGTACACCTGGAGTCAAGGTCGGTCCACGGTCACACCCACATTGACACAACCAAAGGACAAGGTCCCTTGGTTTCATGAGATGTTCAGAGTGGTCCCTGTCTTTGTTCACAACTCAGGCATTATCAAATTAATCCGCTGGAGCAGAACTCATTGGTCATCAAGGGTATTCGTTGCGGCTTTCGCATCATAACCACAAGGCCCATGGTCTGTCACCAGGGAAATGGAAAACGTTAGCACGTTTCCCTCTTGAGACTCTTGAAGGTCCTTAATGGTCCTGTCTTGCATGGTCCCGTGTCAGTCCCACCCTCCCAGGTCAAGCTTACTCCCACTTCCAAGGGCCTCCGCACCATCTCCAAGAACACACGTCTCCCGTCTCCCTCCGTCGTCCGTCCGTCGTCTCCCGTCGTCCTCTGCTTCTCGGAGAGCGCGCGGCGCACGGCACGGCAGTGCTCCGCAGCATCCAGGGCCAAGCGGTCCTGCTCGGCGCGGATGCGGTCAACCGGACACGGTGGCCGGGCGCCAAGGGGTCGGTACAGCCACCAGTGTTTGTCTGAGGTCATTGTATTGGTAGACAAACAGTGAAGGGTCTATACCTTTTGGGGCATGCCCAGGTGGGTGGCAGGGAACCTACTGGCATGGAACTTCTTTAACTTGCCTGTGCCTCTTCTCCTCAGCCAGTCCGAAACAAATGAATTATTGGTTTAAGATGGTTTAAGTGTCAGTTGACAGGGCCCGTTCTTTGAAAATCTTTGAAAGAAGACCCCACTCCAGCTCTGTGTCATTTCACCTCCCCTCCTTCTCATCTACGTCAGATACGACTGCCAGGAACTTTGGTTGTAGTCAAAACCGGCCATGAAAACGAGCACTCGGTCACTCCTCTGATTTTGAAGTCCTTCGGTCTGGATCTTTTTTCCCCCCTGCCCAGTAAAAGCACATCTGGAGCCTGCAGGTCCAGAACAGGCAACTGGAAGGCCGGCGCCAGCATAGCATCGCGTCGGATGCCCTTGTCCCATGGGAAGTTGCAGTCGCACGTTTGGTAGTCACTGCTTGGTCTTCTTTGCTGCTTTGAATCAGCAAAACCATTGTCTATTTAATGAAGAAAGCTGGTTTTCCAGGTATAGTCATCATGTAGAAAAATGACCGATCATTGGTTCAATCAGCAGTACTTTGATACACCTCAAACGGACCACACTGCTTATGACGTGGCAACATTGCAGCTTGTTAAGATTTGTCAAGATGAGTGGTATTTGCCGCCAACACTACTTTTTGCGAGTCGAGCAAATTAGGCCAGTAAGAAAGCTGATATTGAGGATGCTCATTTGGGCAATGTCTCTGTTTGCACAGTCTTCAGTTTATATATGTTCATATCTTCCAAGAAGCCAATGGCTGCTAATAGCAAGGAGCAAATCCCGCAAAATCAACGGGACTGCCGAGAATGCCATGTGCGTGGACAAAGTGCTATAGGCTATAAAGCTACCATCCTTTGACATCTTTTAACAATCTTCAACTCATACCTCTTGCATGTCTTGCATTCGGCCTGAAAACCAGGGTTCCCCAGCACACGAAAATCACCGCACATGTGTCTTGGTAAAGGTCCCTGTTGGACAGCACCCCACCAAATGGCCCAGTCCATCAAATCCTGAACCTTTCGTGGTAGTGCAGTGCTTCGATTGCTTTGGACTTGGTCAGACTGGACCAATTTGCATACTGTGCGGCTATCTGGCCTTCCTGTACCTTTGGTTCCAACTTGATGTGAAGCTCCCCGCGCCCATCTTGACGCTGCGCCAGTGTGAAGGGTTGCCAAGAGGGAACTCCACGCACCTGCAATCGGACGTGTCCTGACTGATCCTGACCTTGAGAGGAACCGAGTTCAAGGCAAAGGACTGACACTGAATCCCGAGTGTCCCCTTCTTGGTGAAGTGTTCAAAACGACAATGCTCTTCATGGAACTGGGCTCGCTGCAAACCTGTGGCAGGGCTGAGGTGGCATTTGCAAACATGACGTGGTGACAGATGAAACTGGACATGTCCATCATCTCATCCTAGACTGCTGCTTTGTGTTCATAATTGTGGCAAAACAATGTTTGAAAGAAAGACCCAGCATGTGCTGAAAAATAACCTAGACAACGGTTGGCCCGAAAGCATTAGCATGGCAAAGATGTGGCAAGAAACCTTGGATTCCTGGCTCTCGCTGTGGCTCTGCCGAAGCTGGACGACCAATTGCCGGCGCGCTACATAGCGAGGAAACCGATGTGTTTTCGCAAATCGGTGTGTTTTCGCATCGCGGTGGAGGGGTGTCAAAGCATCGCACCCCTCTTTGCAGGAAGGTGTCACCTTGCATTTTTGGAAGCCTAGAGCGCAGCCTGCGCTCACCCAAACATGTTTAACGTTGGTCTCCTGGACATGTTTGACGCTGCGTACTTATGGGAATTGGTGTCCAGAGACGTTCCATCGGTTGGTTCATCCACGCCACATCTGTTCGTGACGCGTCGACAATCTTTGAAAAGCCTTGCATGTTTGCGGTGCAACAAACTGCCTGTCAAAAGTTGTCAATCACACAGATCAAACACGCAACCCTGTTGCCACGATGTGAAACGGCGTCACCGCAAAACACTCCTATAAGCCAAGGGAAATGGATCTGACTTGGTTTGTAGCACTTGAACAAATCAAATTCATGCAGTTTCTACCTCAGGTGTCTTTTCTGTAGCATCTTAATTGTTGACTTTGTTGAGACCCTGGATAAAATTGCAGCCTGGACCGATGGGAACTTCAAGGTTGCGAACGCCTCACAAACAATTTATCGGATGAGTCTCATTACTGCTCACAAGAAGCCATTCCCATGTATCACGTCCCTGTCTCAACCCTGAAAGGAAACAACACTTCGATAAGCGTACAATAAATGGTCCCTTCAAATGGCTGTTTCTTTATGTTTCTTTTCAAATAGCCGTCAGGATCCCAAAGATGTCCGACAGGTCGGCTGCTCTCTCACTTCTTGGTGCATACCTGCAGCTAAGGACTCGAAGCGCTCATATTGCCTGTGGATCAGTTAAACCTGCTTGGATTCAAGGATCGTGATACTTGTTTGATGACAGTCATAGCATGGAAAAGCTCCACCTAAGTTTTCAGGGGGTTGTAACACAAAACATGTTGAAATCTAAGGAACTCCACAAGTTAGCTCTGTCCCAGCCTGATCTTACCATGATCTGTGAAACATTTCGGCTATGTATGAAATGGCAATGGAATGACCTCAAACCTTGGCTGCTGAAAAACACCAGTTGAAGTCAACGTAGTTGGCTCGGTGCTGGCTCCAGAAAGCAGTTGCCAAACACTTGGACGTCGCGGCTGCAGCTGTTTCTTCTCTGCCGCTTCAAATGTTGTCAAATCAACCCGTTGATGTGCCTGCAACCCCCGTGGCATGCCATTGCCATACCTGAAGCCAAAAAACAACCAAATTGGCCCACGGGCCTGGAGATGCACGGGGTATTTCTTCATAATTGTGTGAAGATGTCTTTTACGTCTTGAACCACTGGAAATGACGGAAGTTGCAGGCGAATGAGTTGAAAGGATATCAGTCACTGAACCTGGAGCGTGGCTCGGTTCAACCAATCTGCAACTCTCTGACGAAACGTTTGTCCATCAGGAGCAGCTATGAGCAGCTGCCACGAGCTCGGCGATCACTCCAAGTTGCCCTCCTCCATCAACGCCACCTGGGAGCGACTGGAGGCTTTGGTGCGGAAGAGGACCAAAGCAGATCCAATGACGGTAGCACCAAGGGCTCCCAGCAAAGCTGAGGGAAGATGAAATTTGGAGCCGGCAACTTCTGGCTTCTCGAGAAACAACCTGGTGGCTGCTGCCACATGGGCCTGGGCTTGGCAAGTTGGTTTCATTGAAGTGTACATCGCAGCGGAGGTGGCTGTAGCATCCAGGCTGGTGATGGATTTTTGGACTTGGTCCAAGTAGTGCTGGTAGGCGGGGTCATTCGGCTGGGCCATCACCATTTGAGCCTCGACCTTGGTGACTGTCTCCCTGGCGTCAGCGGAGGCTTTGGACACTTGAGCCTCGACCTCACTCAAAGAGAGCACGTCCTTGCACATCTTTGTCATGTTGGCCTTAAACTGCTTCTGAATTGCAGCCTTTTGCTCCTCATCGGCAGCCGCCATCATTTGGCTGCCAAACGTCGGGATATAGGAGGACAGGGGCAGGATGGCATTCTTCCAAGACTCCACCTTGTCCTGCAACGACTCTGCGGAAGATTGGACAGAATCCGCCATCTTATCCAACTGGTCCGGGGTGAACTCCGCCACCGCGGTGAACAACAAGGTTGCCAAGATGCGCCACATGATGCCCTGGAGCACAGATCGCAAGTGCACAGCTGTGTGCAAAATCATGTTTCTGCAAGTCAACAGATGCCCATCTCCCGTAACGGATGATCATGCTGCTCGGGTGTCAAAAAACAACACTGCACATTGGTATGTTTGTAAAACATGTAAAATACTCACACCCCCTGATGAGGAACTACTCCGTTGATGTTCCCCCCTTGGACCCCGGTTTTTGAGGCTGCCACTGGTTGATTTCGATGGCCTCCTTCTGCGCTTCACCCGAGACCTGGGGCGCTATCTCAAAGTCGGTCATGCGATGTCATGCGGATACTTTAAAGAACAAACACTGGATGCTTCCTCATTTGGAGGTTCATCCAAAGTTCACCCAGTCAATTCCAGCAAAACAATCTAGCACTCATATAGAAGAGTCATGGAATAGTGACATGTTATTGAGCCATGATTCAGCATGTATCATAAAGCAGTGATAATGGTATGGCATAGAGTCACTCGCAATGTCATTATATGGCAGTCCAGCTGCCAAAGTTGGGGGTCAACCGAGCCGCCTATCAGTAAATCAAAATTTCTCTCACCTTATCTGCTAGACTGCAGGGTGGCGCCCTCCCTCTAACTGTACCCGGCAGAACTGAATGAACTGACAATAATTACTGCAAGATACTGCAAGTGTAGCTGAGTAGGAACCGGCAAACCATCTCCCTTGGATTGAACGGCCATTTCACTCACCTTCTGTCATCCCAATGAGGTGTCCTGGGAAGCCCCAAATCTGACTTTTTCAGCCTTTCAGAGCCCAAGTCACACAACAGGATCCTGTCACGGTCGAAATCTTGCCCAATGCAGGCCGAGCAATCAACCCTCCATAGTTGGATGTTCACATGCCTTCACCAACTATTTAATTTAAGGTAAAATCAAGCATGGTTCATCCATATGAGTCACTGAAGAATGACATCGTCCCCTAAAAAAGGTGGTGTAACATAATGCCGGATCGACCTGGCAGATCATGACAGCCAAAAACTGGTTTGCAAAGATTCCCCTATCATACCGTTGAGGTTTCACAGGGCCGGAAACTGATACTATCCAAGCCACCCAGCTAAAAATCCCTGGGCCGGGCAGTCTTGCCACTCAACTTCTGCTCTGCCTCTTTTTGTTGACACCCACAACGCGAATGATGAGAATCAGGTGCGATCTGGAGCCTCAGCTGAAGTTGGCGATGGTACCTGCATATTCCCCAGCCCCTGGCCCATTGAGTTTATCGTTATATTTCCATACAGAAAAGAATCCTACATACTACATATCCTACATCATATATATATATATCAAAAAACACTATCAACCACCCAAACTCGTCATCAATCCACGTGTTAATCATGCCACTCTGCAAACACATAATTTCCAAATGTCGTGCAGGTGTAGCCCATGCTGATTCTGGGTGCCCCCAACTCTCGCTGATTAATATTTTAATGGCAAAGGAGGACAAATGTCATGATTACACAAACATTATGGGATTTATTCATAATGAATGACCATCATGAATTGTCAACAATCAATACCGAGCACGTTTTTGAAGTAGTCATAATTGTATTTATATTTATTGTTGTATGGTAAATAGTGCAAACAGTCCTTATGAAGCAGCCATTACAATGCGAGAAGCACTCCACCAGTTGCAAAACACCATGCAATGAACGCAGCAAACAATCACAAGATCACCCTTGAAGCAGCCATTACAATGCGAGTTGCAACCTTCCAGTGGCAAAACACAATGGCACGAGCACACAGACATGCAAGAAATGCAACTCCCAAAACCGGATCTCGGCGCCCAAGCCAAAAAATTACGATTTTGCAACGATGTTTAAAAGGATTTTAATAAGGACAATTCATCTGCTAAATGTCCGATAGTTTAACGAAAACAAAGCCTTGCTGCAACAGCTTTATTCCGGGAAGGGATCCACCAACTGCAAAACACAATGTAACTACCGCAGCCAAGCGTCGCAAAACCACCCTTGAAGTAGCCATTACAATGTAAGGAGCACCTTGGGATAAGTTGGTTAGCAAACAAAGCAGTCCTCGATGATGACCTATGTCGGATGAAGTTGGTAACCAATGTCCGAGTTGTATTTGACTTTTTTTGGAGGGCCATATTAGACTTCAGGACTGTAACCGCATGGCAAAGGTGGCTGCTTGATTCCACATTTCATCAGCCTGAAAAGGTCGGTAGTTTCGTGCAAGCAAAAATAGTTTTGGACCTACCGGGCCATCTGCCCTTGAGGATCTCATCGAAAAGGAGAATCAGTCCAAGAAGGCATCCGTGAAACCGAGCAGCGGCGATACCAGGTCAGAAACTTCTGCATGACGCAGAAGAATGAAAGAGCGATGATCACTTGGTGCGCCCGGAATAGGTAGCTGCTGTGCACTTGTTCCAGATTCAAAGCTTCCAGGCCTCTTCATGCTAAGTTCGGCACCCAACCCATCCTGCAGAGATGGATCGCTAGTGGAAAGGGCACGACTTGAGTCAATATCTTTCCAAAGCAACTTGCAGTACTCCCTAAGAATCGTCTTTTGGTCCAAACGGCTGATTGGCCGGAAGCTTCATACATAATACATACAATGTTCATGAGCTGAAGATGATGTTTGGATGAAATAAATAGTCATCCGGCCTTCATCTGACCTCATGTTTTCAGCTTCAGATCCAGGCGATTCGGTCGCTCCTTCCTTTTAGATCCTCACAATCATGCGAGTGAGCCGGTCGCTTCTGCTTGGAGCGTCTTGGAGTATCCTAACCTGGTCCACCATTCGCAGGTGTGCGTTGCTCGTGGAGACAAACCCACGAACAACGAGTCTTTGGTGCGGACTCTTGTTCGTTCGCAGGTCATAATTCCATCATCCCATTCCGAAGACACCCCATCCAAGCACCTTCAACCTGCCTTTCAATCAACAGGGTGAGACTGGTGACACGAGCAAACGGCACACGGCCGTTTTCGGACCGTCTCTTTCGGTCAGCCACGAAGCATCCGTCTCTTCGGCGTTGCTTCAGGCTCTTCAGATTCACTTCAAATGCATGACCAACAACGTGGTGTCCGGATTGCACCTGCAAGCCCGGCAGTCAAGTGGCTGACAGGGAGCCATGGCAGTAGATTACTATGCAGGTGACAGTCCATCCATGTCTTCCTGTTTACTTCCACTTCATCATTTGGAATCAGCTGAGGAGCTTAGCAAAAACATATTCCTGGTGAACTTGTGGACTTCCGTGTGTGGACTTTCAGGTTCCACCCGCAAAACACAGGAACAACCACTTGAGGACGGTGCAAAAGGACGCACGGCAGCCAGCCGACGTTCCCAGCAATGGCCCTGCGGAACTTGGGCCTCGCTGCACGAGTCGAGGGTGAAGTGAACTGCATGAGTTTTGGGGATACAGTACCAAAAATGGATTGAATATAATATCTCAGATCTATATATATATACTGTATACTGTATATATATATATATAAAGCTAACAGAAATGGCATCCACCCTAGAAGCGATGGCGTGGACTTCAAATGTTCCGACCCCCTGGGTTCGCGAAACGGGAAATAGACTAGTCTACCCGCTGGTTTTTCGTGTCTCCCTATGGCCACGGATGGGGGACCAATTCATCTGGGGAAGGCTGGATGGCGAGGATAGTCACAATGAAGAAAGAACTCACATGAAACAAGAAACCAACTTGCTCTATGTAATCTGTTCCACACCATCAACGATGGGTCTGTCTTAAAATAGGAGGATCCCCAGGCTTGGCACAAGCTTTCCGTGGGCCAACCATACAACGCACACCTACATAATCAAGGATGTTCATGATTAACCACTTGGTGTTTACAGTTTACAGCTTGATATTATATACATATATATATATATATATGTAACTACTGTAATGTTACGGACAATATATATATATATATTATATATTATGTCTTTTGATACTCTAGAAGTGTCCATGTCATGTACAGGTTTTTTGGTGCCAACGAAGGCCTTTGTCCCGTCTCAGCCCTTGCAAAAAAAAACTCATGGGGTCAGCCTGACCAACGCAACCAGCGCAAGCGAACGACTTCCAACTACTGGAGTTGCGCTAAAAACCCGACCCGCCAACTGTTACTGTTACTGTTGACTCTTTAAAAAAGAGAAGCCAACCGGAGATGTGGTTTACAAAGATGGCATGGTCAACCATACAAGTTGGGTGAAAAAATCATGGATTGCCACTGGATCCATTTCTCCCAAAAATCGCCACAGCTAAGCTGACCACGTGTACTGATGCAGCTGCCCTGCGAAGTCCAACGACCCATTCGATGTCGCGACCGTTTCTGGGGTTCTTCCGCCGTTCGACCTCCGCCTTTGCTTCAATCCGATGAAAAGGCAAACGAATCCAGCGAACCAACCCCAAACAACAAACAAACATGCTCTTCTCCTCTTCTCTTTGCTAAGCGAGTGAGAGAGTCAAGAGCGTCCAAAGCTTGGTCCCCTCCAAAACCCCCGGTCATAGCGGTGAATTGTGTGTGTGTTTTTTTTGTTCAGGAAAGCTTCTGGGGATGGGGGGCACCAGGCGCCAAAAACGCAGAAGACTACGCAGAAGATGCATTGACTCCTCGGATCTTCTCAGTCATCAGTGCCCCCAATGGAATCTCGAACATTCCTGAGCACTGATGACTGAAATTCCCAATCTGGTGGGTATCTACCAATTCAAACACCTATAACCTCAGACACCTTCACCCAGGATGGTGCTGGTTCGATGTCCAAAGGCCAAGGGAAAACGCGCGTTTTCTTCGACCCCCTTCCCCTCCAACGGTGAAAGCTCTGAACAACACCAGCTGTAGGCCTCTCTCGTCGGACACCATGAAGCACACATGCCCCTGTAGCTCTCCCTCCTCGTTCACGGCCTAACGAAAAGGCGCAAGAGGGGCGTCTTCATATTCTTCATTCACCGCACCAAACTCAGGCAAGCGACTCGAACTGGGCGGATCAATCCCAACATTCAACGATGTGTCACAACGCTCCTCTCCACAGACCGGGTTCTTGTTTCTCACGTGCCCCGACCAAAACAAACATGTCACGTCCAGAGAATTTGTGACCTTGCACTGAACACCAAGCTATGTTTCTTGCAGGATCTTGCAGGTATTTCTGTGAAGTGTCATGAACATACCTGCTCAGGTATGATTTTGTCAAAACCAATAAGAATAACGCCCCAGCAACTGAATGCCACTTGCACCCTTTTGGCCCTTGCCACCTTTAGGTCAATAGGCCCCCCCCCTCTCACCATCCTCCCCAGCATCCCCTGGAGCAAACGGCCTCTGTGTAGTTCAGTTGCAGCCGGCAGCCTTGGTGCCCCTTCGGCAGCTCTGGCATCAGCCGTTGGCCAAAGCCCTGGACATAAGGCCCTGCGGCAGATGTTCTACAACTCACTGCACGAGACATCAAGCATCTCAGTGGCAGAACTGGTGGCAGCGATGAACTTCAGACTGCATGAGACTAAGTCCTGCGGGAAGAATATGACCACAGGTTCCAAACCTCCTGATATATATATATATATATTAGTATAAATGAAAAATCTGCAAAATAAAACCAATCCAATCTCATAACCATTTCAAAACCTTTGAAAACCCAGGATCTGTTTGAGGCTGTGCCTCAAACTCTCGCAACCGTGTCAGACCAGGAGATACCACTCCTCCAGGTGCTCCCAGAGCGCCCAGGCGTCCATCAGAGGCTGATCCGCCTCGGGTGTAACCGCGCGGGACAGACTCCGCTGGTGGGTCCGGGTGTTTTAATTCGGATTCCGCGTCTTTTGAAGTGTCTCTAAAGAATCAAAGAACACTGCGATAGATCCGATATACTGCGGGCTTTGGCAAAAGCATCAAAAGATGTGATTCTACACTAAAAGGACTCACTCTGCTGCCGTCCCAGCAATGTACATCTCTGGACTCGTGTTGATTTTTAAACATCGAATATAAGTGATGTGGATGCTGTTGATGCGCGATGTCCCTTGCAATGGCAACTGATCAATGCGTTTTTTCTTTCCCAGCCCCCGTTCCGATTGCCCAAGCGCTGCCAAGCCACCCAAGCACATGAAGATGCCCCCACAGCTACTGAAGAAATTCGCCTGTGTCAGCACTTACAAGTCTTGTCGGTTTCTGTGGCCAGACCATCAACCGCTCATTCAAAGAAGCCGAACCTTCAAAAAACAGAACCTGTCAATACCCCTCAATCAAAGGAAAAACCATCGAAGAGACATGTCCCAAGTTGCGACATTCGTTGCGGTGGCACGTAAGTAAGAGAGGCAGTCACGGTCAAAATGCTTACGTTTCACCACATCTATCTTCTCCATATATCCTACACTTCACTAAGTCACAAACCGCCGCTCCAGTCCATCACAGGATGCCATCAGACATCATCACGTGACCCTTCATCACCCAAGAAGTCATCACCACGCAAAACCACGCCTCTGTTTTTTCGTTTGTGGAATACCTGGAGAAGTGACCTTTGGGTCTTGGGTCAATCGATGTCTATCGTTCCAGGTCGCGTGGTCTCGTCTCGAAGTCCGCGCTCCGCGGCGCTGGTTCGCCGGAGACGAGACGGAGCTCGCTCCGCTCCTGGCTGAGGTCGACGTCCGGTGGAGCGATGCCGATGATGATGGGATGTGCTTCAGGGCAGTCCTAAAGGTCGACCAGCCGACGGCGGGACCCCACGGGCGGGATTATAAACGGCGGGACCCGGTGTCTTCTTGGCTCGGAGGTAACAAGAGGACGCTACGAATCGCAGCGAACGGAGCGATCGGACGCTACGAACGTGGCTCCTGGCATTACTAGGAACAAACAGCTACTAGGTGGAGGCCATCGCTACTGATTCCAACAGCCATGGAAAACTGGAAGGGTGGAACATGGCTGGAAGACTCTTCCAGTCTGGTCTACAAACTGGGTCTGTCCCACTTGCCTGGAAGAAATTGAAATCAGCTTGGACCTATCACATTTAAAAGGGCCGGTTTTCCATGGTTTTCCTCCTCTTTCTCTCACCTTGCACCCTTTGCTGCAAACAAAGCAAGCAACTGACAAAAGTGCTTTGGCACCAGAATGCACTCAAGCTCATACTCTACGCGCTGACGCGCAGCCATTAAGATGCTATTGTTTGAACATCAACCCCATGATAATCAGTGTGGCTTACCCTACCGCGGATAAGTTCATTGGATCTATAAGGCCCAAACAGCTGTCTAGGTCGGCCCACGCGGCTGTCTGGGTCTGCGCAGAAGCGGTTGATATGTGCCTTAAAGAATCACTTTTTGGGGACCAAAGGATGTATCCAGCGAGTTTAATTTGTCTTGGGTCCAAAATTTCAGTGAACAATTGAATACTGCCTAAGGCCTAGTGGGAGTGCAATGTCTGACACCGTTTGATAAACTCGCTGGTTGGTATTCTGTCTGTGTACACATGTTGCCGGCGTCTGTAGGATTTTTCTGAGGCCCCTCAAGTGAAATGCATTCAGCTTCTCGCGTAAGAACCATTGAGATGTACTGCTTCCAAGCTGTACAGTAGTTTACTTCTGAGGAAATGGTAGAGTTTTTGAACTTCAGCAGCCTTTTGCATCAGCCACTGCAAACAGGCATCCCTACCTCTCCCAAAAGAAAACTTCAATACCAACAAATACATCTCAATCGGCATGTCGCCCCATTCAGCATGATGAGTCTGCTTGGCGCAGTCTGCCAAGACCTGCTTCTCCTCTTCGGTCAACCCCCATCCTGTGGCTGCACCACGATCTCAAAGGAGGGGTCTTCGGCCTTAGTGGAGACACCGATCCTATGACTCGCACCACGCTCAAAAATCAAGACCTTGTCTAGGCTGTCTAAGCCGAGTCCTGCAGAACCTGGTCCTGGTTGATCATTGAGTCATACAGAGTCATACATACTTGTCCAAGCACTTGGTCGGCCTTCAGACCCGAGGTGAAAGGCCTGAGATCATGCTCAGCTCTGCACTTGTTGGCATCGTATCCGATCGTATCTTGCTGACATGCTAGGACCTAGAACTAGCCCTCACGGCCAAGGATACCCAACTCGGCGCCCTCGTTTGCAAGATCGGCTCGCTGTTTCCTCCAAGCCCCCAAACGTTCGCCCTTGCAAAGACGACGCCGCCACTCCAGCGCTTGTTGCGCAACACATCCTGTCATGGTGCGGGGATCAAAGCAATGTACACGGGCACAATTTGGTGCGATCAGCCTCGCATGGTCACAGGCCATGCTCTCATCATCTGCCCTTGTGCCTGTTCAACTCACACCTGAATAGGTATACGCAAAAATCATCTGCAACATTCTGCAACAAAGAAACACGTTGCCAAAAACCCAAACGCCTCCCTCCAACTCCCCCTCCAACAGCCCCCGTCTCTCACCCCATCAAACTGCAGGTTCTTCGTGTGCGCCAGGACTTGGAAGCTGGGACACCTGAGCCGAGCTTTCCGTGGTCGTCAGGTGTCCACCCATCCACTCGGAAAGGAGTTGGGCTCCCCGCCTTTGTCCTACGGTCGTAGCTAAAAGAGGGATGACCTCCAACCGGTCGCGATGGCTGGCTTTGGTCCGTTCCCGTCGCCGATCCATCGCCCCCTGGTTCTCCACCAGCGTCGGAGGAAAACCAACGATGGCGAGTTTGGTGCTGTCTTGCGGCATCCGACACCCCTCGATCCGACGGGTGGCGGGATGGCAAACCCTTCCATCCCTGCCGTGCATTTCGACACCTCCTACATCCCTCTCGCAGTCCGTGTTGAGAGAAAGTGTCTCAAAAGTGACTGCTTGAAGAACGGCTTCCAATTTCATTGTCCCTTTCATCACCTTCATCATGTAATCCTCATCATCACGATCATCACGTTCCAAGACTGTGTAGAAATCTGTAATGATATGTGGTACAAAGATGTATATATATATATAAGTATATAGGTCTACCTTGGAAGGAACGGCATCATCATCATCATCATCATCATCATCATCATCATCATCATCATCA